CGGTCAGAGATGAGTGTGTCATGCATTAATATAAAGATATGAGATAATACATGTTGTATTCAGTTAAGCAGACACAACTAACATGTCACAACATGGGTAACATTTGACAGTTTTGTTTGTTCATCCAAAGAATCCATTTTTATCTAATTTAGTTACTGGTTTTAAATGTTCGAAATATTTTAACAATTTAATAATAATAATAAAAATCCCCTTCAGCTTAAAATTGAAAACATACTCTTTAGCTGGCCTGTTATTATTTGTTCTTTTAGCAGTTATGTAGAGACACATCTGGAATCCCTATTTGAAAACCTCAATAGCAAAAGAAAAAAATCTATGCATTTCGAGGAAAAAAATTTTTTACTGACTGATTACATTGGTCAGACTATAGTGTTATATTCAGTCTCCAGGAGACAGTAACACATAAATAATAAAAAATAACAAAAAATAAAAAACTGTGACCATTTTTTTTTTTTTATAACAATAAACCATTAATAACTAACCACTAATTAGGTGACTGGAAATGTTTACTGCAGGTCACTTAATGATTACAGACAGTTGAGTAATGCAAAAGGTGCAGCGTGTTTTCTCACGTTTCTTTAGCCATAAACCGTCTGTCATGCAAAACATCCATAAAAGATGTTAGAAGAAAGCTTCTCATGTAGGCTAGTGCTGCCACGGTCAAAGTGTGATTTTACTCGGCTTACCGTTTCATGTGCGTAAATACAAATGACACATTAAAGGGCGAAAGAAACATTTACAGCCTTTTGTAAATGAAAAGCTTAACTCTGTACTGTGCCACATGCTTTATCTATATAGGCCTTAGTAAAAAAAAAAAAACACTATGCCATAATTTATTTAAAATACATATATTTCATAGGTATACTTCAAATGCATTAACATATTTATTGATATATCACTGATATAAAATTATAATTCAACTTGATTTGGAGTATTTCTTTATTGCACAATGCACATTTCTTAATATTATGCCTAAAATGTGTATTAATAAGGATTGTATATTCTCTCTGTAATATCAGTCTTTAAATGCAAAATATTTCAAGTGTACCTGAAGTATACTTGCAATAGTTCCACTTTAGTACAATCAAATATACTTCAGTATATCTTTAGTTGTACCTCAGCACTACTTCCACATAAAGTGCATTAAATACAGAATTAGTTTTTCCAATTTAGCAGACTTTATGTATACCAGTTTAGCATACTAAAAGTACAATGGCAGGGAATTTTAATTAAGCACATAAATATGTAGATGTATTTGTAGAATACTTAGCACAAAATAGGAGTTTTTGTTTTTTTTGATAACTTGGATTTTACTGCTTTGAGAATAAAGCTGCACCAAGCTCAATAAGGAAATGTCCAAGGAAGTCTGATAAAATATCTCAGTCACGTTTTATATAGTTATGTTTAATGATATGAGAGCTGTGAAAGTTGGCCAACAACATACGAAAACAATGCCCTTTATATAAGTCCCATTTGTGAAACAATGTGTTTCTTAAGAAATGCAACTTAACCGCAATTGCACAAATTCATACTCAGTGCAGTGGAAACAACCGTTACTGTTTTGTGATACAGTATAATTCATCAATCTGATATGTGGGCAACACATCTGGCTGTGTAACTACACTTAAAAAATTGCTGTGGAAACTATTACTATTACATTTTAAAAACAATTACAAAGACAAAGCAAGTACACATTGAATTAAATGTGAAATTTTGAGCAAGAAAAACTGATTTGGTATTTTCTTATAAAACGTAGGGTAATTTAAAGTGGGCTGTTTAAGCTTGATTGTACTGTGTTTAATGCATTTACACTTTAAGAGCATAAAAACAGCCTTAATTAATGGGACACTATTTCTTTAAATTATACAATAGTTTTGGCTCATGCAATATGACCCTGGTGATTGTGGTCACACCACAAAAGAGGACATCCTCATCACCATTCCAAGCTTAAGTAAGGCTTTTGTCATTCAGATTTTCACTACTAACTTGAATTACTAACAGATTTTCATTACAACACTTGTATTATCTGTTGTTGCAGTTGCAAAACAATACCATTATTTTTATTTTTTTGTAAGGTGTTTAAATGTTGCTGGCCTACTTTGGTTGAATGTCATAAAATGAGACACCTTGAACCTACTCACATTCCTATAATTCTACTTGCATTCATGGAATAAATTAACATTCTGATTATTTTAGAATTGACATGACTTTTTTTAGAAAGCAGAAATAAGTGTGCAGTCAAGTCAGAGATAGAAGAAAGAGAGAAAGCAGAAATGAAAGTGAGGCATGAGGTTAAATCTAGAGAAAAAAGGAAGCATGCAGAGTATACAGCTTTAAATTAAAGCTTATTTAACATGTTTAGAGATAACAGACAGAAAAAAGGTGTTACAATATTACATTTTTATGTTTCTCTTATTGAGTTTTTTGTTAGCCTGTTTGTTGTTGCATTATGGTAAAAGTCACATTTCACATTTTTTATGTTGTCGTGTTAATTTTCATTAATATTCTGTATTTAATGTCAATACAAAGGCCAACGTCCTGCAGAGTTTAGCTTCAACCAGCTCCAACACACTTGCCTGGAAATTTCTAGTGAGTCTGAAGACCTTAATTAGCTGGTTCAGGGGTGCTTAATTAGGGTTGGAGCTAAACTGCAGGACAGTGGCTCTCCAGGAGCAGGTTTGGGCATCCCTGCTGTGTGTACATGTGAGGATTGACTAAGATCATAGGAGGATCCGCTAGGTGGCGTTTTGCAGTAACTTTCTTAAAGGTTTCATTTCAAGCTTGCATTTTTCTTTAGAAACACTGGAGCATATAGTGAGCCTGATATTCCCCCTGCTGGTCAAATGAGTTCCCTTCAGGAGTCTGAGGCATTGAGGGTTAGTAAAATGTTAAAGTTAGTCAAAAGTTTAGGGTCTGTCTGTCTGTCTGTCTGTCTAAAAACACTTATAATGTTACACTAAAAAATGCTGGGTTAAAAAGGGACAAACCCAGCTATTGGGTTGTTTTGACCCAGCGGTTGGGTTGTTTTGAACCCAACCGCTGGGTCAAAACAACCCCACCGCTGGGTCAAAACATCCCAACCGCTGGGTCAAAACAACCCCACCGCTGGGTCAAAACATCCCAACCGCTGGGTCAAAACAACCCCACCGCTGGGTCAAAACATCCCAACCGCTGGGTCAAAACAACCCCACCGCTGGGTCAAAACATCCCAACCGCTGGGTCAAAACAACCCCACCGCTGGGTCAAAACATCCCAACCGCTGGGTCAAAACAACCCCACCGCTGGGTCAAAACATCCCAACCGCTGGGTCAAAACAACCCCACCGCTGGGTCAAAACATCCCAACCGCTGGGTCAAAACAACCCCACCGCTGGGTCAAAACATCCCAACCGCTGGGTCAAAACAACCCCACCGCTGGGTCAAAACATCCCAACCGCTGGGTCAAAACAACCCAATAGCTGGGTTTGTCCCTTTTTAACCCAGCGCTGGGTTATATTAAACCCAGCATTTTTTAGAGTGTACAAATAAATCAAATAAATGTTGTTATTTTGAACCTTCCATTTGTTAAATAATCTTGAAAAGTCATAAAACATTACGCAGCAAAATTATTACATTCTGAGCATCAAATCTGCATATTAGAATGATTTCCAAAAGATCATGTGACACTTAAAGGGATAGTTCGGCCAAAAATAAAATTCTGCCATCACTTACTCACCCTCCGAAGTTGTTCCGAACCTGTGCGTTTCTTTCTTCTATTGAACACAAAAGAAGATATTTTAAAGAATTTAATCAAACTGTTGATGGTAGACATTGACTTCCATAGTATTTTTTTCCCATACTAAGTCAATGCCTACCATCAACTGTTTGGTTACCAACATTATTATTATTATTAAAATATTTTCTTTTGTGAGAGTATCATTGTTAAAATGGATATGCCAACATTTAATGTAATATTAAAATGAGTATGATAAAAATCCAGCAATCAGTGACGATATGTGACCTAAGAACATCCCATTGTTGTCATAATGTGAGTAATTTATGTAGCCTACTAAATAAATTAAACACGAAATATTTGCTCTGAAAACCATCAGCCATGCGGAAGAGTGTAAGTATTTTTCAGTTCTTTCTGTTGGTTACATATTCACTTTATTACAAAAGCTGTTTTGTTATAAGGTATTTTGTTTTGCAAGAAAATGTATGTGGTGCTTGTGCAAGATTTATCACCGTGTTACTAGTGTGTTGTGAGTAGTTGCCAAGGCAATGCTAGGTAGTTTCTAAGGTATAGCTTTAATGTGTTGTTGTGCATTTGCTAAGCTGTCTTTGGGTGTTTGCTAGTTAGACACTCAGGTCAAAAGAGACAGACCCAGGTCTCCAGTATAATGACTCAGGTCCCTCCATACCCTTACCAAAAAGTAGTATACTTCAAGTTTATTTTACAATGAAAACACGGATTCTAGGAGTACAATTATAGCTAAAATATATTTAGACTTTTTCTAAGTATAAGTCAAGTATACTTAAATGCCATTTTAAGTATATTTCTGAGAAGTACATAAAGCCAATTTCTGAGAAGTACATAAAAAGTAGACTAAAAGTATACTTTCCTATTTTTTTGTTTAAAAGAAGTATACTAATAGCACACTTGAATAAACTTCTTTTTCGTAAGGGTAGCAAGTCTATGAGATTTTTTTCACTCGTTTTATTGTCCAACATGTGTTTGAATGAATCTCTAACCTGACTTTAAGCTTATTAACTGGAGCTGCATGCCTAAGAAAGACCTACAAATCTGGAAACATGACAAATATTGGCTTTACTTGGCTTTATTTGTCTAATAATGTGATTAAGCAACATTATTTGTTCAGTAGGCCTACGGCTTTCTCATTTGCACAGTGAAGGCTCTATGTTATCATGCCTGGCTTGTGCTTTTGGGGCGTCATATATAAAGGGTAGTTCCTCTTTGATCTGAGCCTTCCTGTCGCTATATACAGGGCCAAATTAGAGAATTTTACATTGGTTCTGCAACCTTCAGTGATTGAAGACATGACTGCCTTTAGACTGGAGTTTCTCTTTTTCACTGCCCTTCTGGGCTCAGGTAAATGAAATGTTCTGTGTGAATACATATATATAGCATATATATTTGTGTGTGTGTGTGTGTGTGTGTGTGTGTGTTTAATGTAGAATTATTTTGATACTGAATTATCAATCTGGATGTTGTGTCACAAGAAAAATAATCAGATATTATTGCTATATTAAGAAGTTGTCTGATTTTACCCAACCAGGCAATTTACAAATCATTTTATATTTTTTCTACAAATATCTCAAAATTAGCGTAAATTTGTTTACATTTTAAATCTATAAACATTTCTCAGTTATATTGTCATGCTGTAATTTCTTTCCCAACCTTTGTTTTTCTTTTCCAGCACTTTTGTTTTCATCTTTCATGTAAGTTCAGTGAGTTTCTTGAAAATGTTTTTTTTTTTTAACAGTCAAAACGCGATCTGTTGATACAACTGGCTTGACGAATGTCCTGATGGATGACAACGTGGTGAGTTTTAGGAATGTTAAATGCTTGGCATGTTGTTTTGTTCGTTACATGCATCTGTCAAACAAACGGATCCTGCAAGTCTGCATTTCAAATAAACATTTAGTTTTGTTTCTTAAAAAATGACCTCCTGGCAAAGCAAAATGATAATGCTAAAATCTCATTTACACATATTGCAAATGCAGAATTATTCTTATTTCTGGACAGATGCAGTAGATTGTTAAAGAAAATAGAAGTTGTCATTTTCATTTCCTCAAAGCCCTTCAACACCTGAAATACACCATCCGCAAACTTTTAAGAGTACCACAAGTTTCACTTCTCTTTATTTCTACATCTTTAAGATTAAACTTTTGATAAGACAAAACTTACACATAAAGCAATGCAAACTAGGCTATTCTATAATATACTGTATTCTGTAGACAGGTGACATGTGTCAGGACTGCACTCAGATTTTTGAGCTTCTGAAGGACCTCTTTTCCAATGGGGACTTCCAGGTACGATCTCTCTCTCTATCACACACACACCCACACACACACACCCACGCACACGCACGCACGCACGCACACACACACACAGACACACAGATACACAGATACAGATGGTATAGTGAATAATATTGCATGATTCCATGATCTTATGACGACAGTGTTTTACCTTTATCTAGGAGAAGCAGATTGAGAGAGTGCTGGTTTTTTAACAATGCACAAGAAATCACCATTCATTAGTGAATTTACAATCACCGCCAAAGCTTTTGAGGAAGACAGAGTCTAAACATGATTCCAACTTCTTTTTTATCTCAGATTTGCATGATTTTTAGCATGTCTTAAAGAAGATTTCAAAGATGTAAGGAAGTTGTGTTGAAAAGCAGAAGTGTATTGTTTCCAATCTTTTCATGGTGTCACTTTTTCTTCTCACTCATAAACCTGATGAATTTGGTGTGTGTTTCTCACCTGTCCACTTTACCAACCACATATATGGTCCTTCACAGACTCTATACTAACACATCTACCTTACCTACAATGAGATTTATGTGCAATATACAATGACTAAACATGATGCTTTATCTTCTTAAAGGAATATTCTGTTTTATACTCTTGGACAACACTTGTGGAATAATGTTGATTACCACAAAAAACTGACTTTTCTTAAAAAATGAAGTTATGTAAAGGAACTTACAATTAAAGTGAATGGAAGTGTTTAAATGCAGTTTAATATAAAGTTTAAATATAATTTTTGTAGAAAAAAAAAACGAATTCTTCTGTTAAACTTCTGTTTTTTAAACTTAAGTTGTTCTCGTCATTTTTACGGTCGTTGTGTTGTCATGGCCTGAAGTTGTAAAATTGGATATAACCACACAGAAAAAGTACATAAGCAATTTTTTTCAATCCAATCTCAAGAGGAAACCTAACTGTTTTACTGATAGGTGATTTTTGTAAGAGTAAGAGTAATTTTTTCAACATTTATGAACTGAAATCATTCACTTGCATTGTAGGTGCCTCATTGTAACCCAGATTTTTTTGCTTTTTTGTGGTTATCAACATCATGTCACAAATGCTGTTCATTGAGCTTTACTTGTACTGAACCTATATGTCCCTTTAAGACACACCTACGCACTACACAGACAGAAAATATCAAACCACCTGGCATCTGTAAACACATACTGCACAAGATTTTCTCATGACATTGTTGCCATGACTGTCAACCAACTGTTGTTAAGGCTTTTTTTTTTTTTTACATTTTATGAATCTCCCTTTTACCTTACAGAGTTATCCTAGCAGAGTAACACAGATGTAGTTCATCACATTTTCAACCCGATCTCATAAAAGTGCGTATCAATAGTACGAGTTTATGTTTCGATTTGGCGCACTGTTTATATGCAAAAATGGACTTTTGCGTGCATATGATACGCAATGGGTAGGATTAGTGTTGTGGGGTAGATGCGTATCATATGTACGCGAAAACTGCGTATCATATGCACGCCAACAAATTTCATATCATATGCACGCGAAAACTGCGTATTATACTGTATATGCACGCCAAAGTCCATTTTTGTGTATCAGTACCACGGTTTTCTGTTTGTATTTGGTGTACTATTTATACACATTTTCATGAGACAGGGCCTCACATAATCCACTTATGTTAAACAACTAGAATCTGTATAAATTATTTGTTTTATGGTTTTTAGGAAATGTTTTGCATGAAAATTGCTCTTGTACTAACTTTATTTAAAATAAATGCCACTTGGTTTGATATCTGTATCTGTAATAGCATTCCTACTTCAAGAACATGTCTAAATCATTTTGGAGCCACTTTAAATCAAGTTTGTTATGCAATCATACATCTGATTTTTTAGGCCAAATTAGCTGCCTCTCTTGAGCAAGTGTGTGATAAGTTGCCTGCCCAAATCACTCAAATCTGCCGCACTGAGGTGGAAAAGATGCTTCCTTTGGCCATCACCTTCATTACCAGCATGATGGTACAGTATATATAGTTAGATTAAAACATGCATTTGATTTATAGGACATTGTATTATTTCGATTCGTATTTGGTTGAGAACCACTGCTGTTTATTTTACTGCTAATCCTTTCAACCTTTCACTTCAGCAACCCGGTGACATCTGTACATTTCTTGGACTGTGTGGAGGACGTGACAGTGCCAAGATTAGAGATCTGTTGCTTAATCACGTCAAAAACTGTCCCAGTGCCAACTATGAAGGTAACATTTGAGGAAATGATTTAGAAGTTATTGTTTGCATGTTCTGCACAGCTGACTAGGTTTCTTTACTCTCTAATACAGATGGAGACGTCCATTCAGTGCTCGGTTTGCACATACATTGTGAGCACACATGGGTATCTTTTTCCCAGAGAGAGGACTCAGGTGAAAAATCACAATACATACGGGATGAGTTCAGAAAAAGAAGTCTGCTTAATTGTATTGAATGTGCACTTGTAATCCTACTTTAAATCTTAAAAGTTTTTTTTTTAATCCTTTCAAAAGATAATATAGTACTAATAAAATAAAAGGCGACTTAAGTGTACTTAGAGACTGAGTACACATTCATGACTGTGTTTCTTAACACACTTAAGTACACTTTTAAAAAGTGCACTTTGTAGTAATACCAGATGAATGTTTTACATTAAAGTACATTTTAAATAATTATTTTAACAGTCTTTTGTCATACTTTGAAGTACACTTATTTTGATGTTTTATTTTGATATTACATTTAAAGTTTATGTATTTAAAATTGCAACTTAGTTATGAAGAATGTGAAATTACAAATAAATGTAAATACTGTACATGACATGCAAGTTTGTAGCAATGAGAGTAAAGTATATTTTGGTTTACTGTGCTTGTCAGTACTTTCAGCAGTACATTTTAACCATATTTCAATACAATAGAAGTAATTATGCAATTACATATAAAGATGTACTTAAGTGGATCAAAAGAGCACTCTAAAGTTCAGCTAATTGCATTTAATATCAATTTAATCTATAATACATTTTCATGTAATTGTAATTAAAGGGGTCATACGATGTTGCTAAAAAGAACATTAT